ATATTTCTAACAGTTAAGTGTCTATATTAGCTAGAAATGGATACATATTAAGAACACAGTTTAATTTTTCACTGATTTGTAATCCATTATATTATTAAATAGAAATAAATCCAATAATCAATAAGTATTAAAAAAAATAATAATAATGTCTAAAGAATTAGAAAATAACTTCTGTGCATGATTGTGTAATAATTATAAATTATTGTGTATAATTGTATTATAATTATAAATTATGATTGCATTATATTTTATAGGTAGTTTTAGTATAATAAACATAATTTTTTCAATATTTAAAATAGTGCCTTGTGAAAATTGTAACCTTGTTCCATCTTCTTATCTTAAATATGCCTTCGCCTACATTAGAGTATATAGGTAACGAAAATTAGCTATGGTTTAAGAAGTAGATTGTTTCAAAAATATTAGTGTGACAAATTTATAGATAATTTATGGATATAATTATAATTCACATAAATATAATGTAGTTCTGAGCATTATAAATGTAATGTTATTAATTATTATGTTCTTAAAACTGTTATTAATTTATAAAAAAATATAGGGAAAATGGATAAATAACTGTTATTTAAATGTAAAAATATTTTTTATCTTTTTAATCTAAAATAAAATGCCCCTCGCATAAAAATAAAAATAAAATAATGATCAATATTAATTGTAGTATTATTGAATGTTGTTTAAAGTGTATAATTATAATATGTATTACCGTTAAATTATCTAAAAAGTCTTATTTATCAATAAATACTATAATTATATTAAAATAATATAATAAGGTAAATATACCATATGTCTGATTTTATTATATGCATGTCAATATACCTATTGTGAATGTACGTTTAGTACAAATAATAATGGACAACAACAAAAACTCAGATTGCAGTGTAGGAACTAACTAAAACAAATTTACACAAATATAATTATTAAATAATATATATAAATAAATATGATTAAAAAATATTCAAATTATCAAATATTAATAATTAGATTCGGTGTTCAACATCCTGTATAAAGTACAATTTATTAAATAAATACCCATTAGATCTATGTACAATTATTGAACGAACAAAAATGACTTTATTTTCATACTCAATAACTAATAAATTTCAGCCAGTCGTCAGTAGATCCAGTGAAGGTAACATAAGTTAGATGTCAAATATTTTGTCAGAACGTCTGAAGTAAAGGTATATTTTTATTTATTATTTTAAATATAAATAAAATCGACGGTTATCCTTATGAAATTTTGATCTATGAATCATGATATTTAAAATTATGTGTATTGTTTATAGCAGCCCACTAAATTCTCAATTAGTACGGGTAATCAAAATTTAAAAAAAGTAAAAAACAATGAACATTTGAAGATTTCTAATCATAGTATGTCCGACAATTCAAGTCAACTCAGTCAAGTATTTAAAAATTTATGAATTAGTGACGATGAAATTTAATTATAATACGTATTAATAATGACACTCAAGTTTCCACTTATATAATAATATATTGTGTACCTACCTAATATTATTCATATTCATTTAATATGTATACCACGATTTTTTTAGTTGTGCGCAGTTTTCAATTTCCCAAGTTTCTCTGTAATATATTATTATATATTAAATTAAATATATATATATATTAAATTTTTGTTAAATGAAGCAACTTGCTATATTTTGATGTAGACCCATGTGGTCTATGTGGCTCATGTAAGTTCTGAATTATTTAATAATAATTGAGATATAATTTTACAAAAAAATTGACTATTTTTTTGTTTGTATATTAGGTATAATATTACGTACCAAACATAATGAAAATTTATATCGTTTTTTTCTTGTTTTTGTTTTAGTCATGTTACTTAATTTATAATAATCTAGATTTTAATTATTGTCACATTTTTGATAGTAAATGTAGCAATAATAAGAATCTTGCGAAATTGTTTTCATTATTTTATTTAGAATAACTATATATTATAATATATTTATACTTAGTTAATTATTTTATATTTTTATTTCTAACTATAAAATAAAACCTCATAATTATCGAAAATATTTAACTTGTTTACTATAAATAAATGTCCATAAAAATAATAAATAATTCCAATGAATTAAAAACATTTATTTTTACCCATTCTAAACATCTGAATAGCGGATACTCTCAGTCACCGAAATTTTGTCCGTTATTTGGAGGTATCTATTATTCAGAGGAGATACATTTTTGAAAATTATTATTAAATACATATTATTTAAATTATATTTTTACAGTCAACAATTACATATTTATTTAATTAAGTACAAGTATTTTAAAAATTATTTTTGTGAGAAAAAAATCGGTGAGCTTTGTCTGTTCATAATTACACCGTCTCTGTGCAATCTCAATAGTAATGTACTAATATCATTCGTTAATGTTACAGCAATAGTGAAAATAGTACCTACTGCTTTTTACCTCTATTGATGAAATAAAATGACACGTTCTTTACAGTAAACAAAGCGTCCGGTAAATTTGTTATTTCACTAACTGGCATGCTTTGTTACTCATGTCTCATGAAGTCATGACTGTTTCACCGATAACCAACTTTGTCGTAAATTTATCGTTCCTTAACGAGTTTGTTGTCGTAATTACATTATCACGAAAGTACATATGAATGTGAATATGTATTTTTTTCAGATAAAGATAACAATTATGTCTGCTATTTGGAAGTTTTCCCATAGAAAAGTAGTGAAAATGTCTCCGTTCCCAAAAAAGCGTCCACTATTGGTAGGTGTTCGTTAGAGGTTTCAATACATATGATTTTTAGAATATTTTATCAGTAATCTATGTTATGTAATAACGCGTGTCGCATACTATGAAAAATAACATTTATTTTTTATTTACATTTTAAAGTACCAATATACCGCATACGGCATACCTAGGTAAATATTTATTAATATAGGAAATAGGAATACAAAATACCTATCTAAGAATATGTATAGTTTGACGATTGAATAAATAGAAATAACCTTGAATTTAATGAATATGTGAATATATGTTTTAAGATATAAAAATAACTGTTGTTTCATATTTGATCTTATAATTTATCATTTTGGTAATAACTTATAATTATTACTGTTTATAATTTATATTTTAGATTCTGAGAGGAACGATTAATGCATTGATTTTACAATAATAAGAGGATTTTTTTAATTAATTTTTTTTTATATGTTTTACTCAAGAAAATGCTTTGATTTTAAACTCTAAGTGTAATTTACTGGTTTCTGGTAGTAAATTGGATCTAGATTCTAGTTGTTACTTTGATGGATCAAAATTAAAAATTTTAAGTTCCTTAAAACTAACCGCAATAAACAAAAAAAAAAAAAAAAATTTTTCATGCAATATTTAAAATTAATTGCGTTTATTTTTATTGTAACTTAAATTAAATATCTGTAAGAATAAGAACTTAAAATTTTCTCTGAATTTTTTATAAGCATTTAAAAGACCAGAAATATACTTTTCCAAATGCTATTTTAATTTTTATGAGCTAGTTATAGACACGTGATATTTTCGATTATTTTTAATTTTTAAATTGTAGTTTAAAATTAATAAAATGTTCAATTTTTACATTTCGGGTTATTGAATATTTAATATAAAGTTTCTCATAAATAGCTCATACTGAAACAAAAAAAATCTAAATCAACTATTATTAAACATTGCTTAACCTCAGACTCTAAAGTATCAACTAAGACCACTACTTCGATCCAAAATCTCTTTAAAGAACAAAACACTAATTTACAAATAAATATTACATTCCGCAATGACGTACAGCATCCAACACTGGGGAACCTCGAAAAATTCAAACCTAACTAAACTTTAAATTTTTCAATCAATAATTACTCAAGTCCACTCTATTACTTTCTGTCCTCTGATATGTCAGTAATTGTACTCTACATCATGACTTTAACATATCAACAATATTTACACTTGCTTTCTATTACTATTCACTATACATATTGTCTATATTATTACTATAATACATTTCATTAAAATTCCTTTAACTACGAAAACTATTTTATATCCAAACTCTCTTCTCATACTTGATAGCAGCCCTCTCCGCTGTCTCAAACATAAATAGCCACATGATCTATTAAATAATCTATAATAACTTACTTTCTCTAAGTTCATAAACTGGAAGTAGTGTTGATATTATATGTTCCGTTCCCTCGTTTTTCCAAATCTTGTACAAACATTAATTTATTTATAAAATGTATGAATTATGTATACAAATTGTAAATATGTAAAAATAATATTAAAAACAAAATACGTAGATATGTTTCCGAATATACAACTAGTAATTGGTTGGATGCGATATCCGCATACTATTATGTTTGTTTACAAGTGAAACTTTATCAGCTTTCAATCTATGTGAAGTTAACTAAGGGTCTAATAATGAAAGAGGTATCTACGTTTTCCCATTTTTAAATTTCACTCCGAGCTTTTAATACACTAAATATACTTTATAATTTATATATATAGACGGTTATAATATAACTTTAACTATATGTATAAACGATTAAGTATAAAACGTTACAGGTAGAGTGAATTTATTTTAAATCCGTCTTTCATTATTTATTTTCTTAATGTTCTATATAATTGACAAGTGCATGTTATTTAAATACCATTAAATAGGGGCAGATAGTCAATTTTTTTGTTATTAAGAAAATATAAGAACAAATTCTCAGTACTTTTCTTCAAAATTGGAATAAGCAAAAAAAAAAAAATAGGCAAAGACTGGTATTTTTACGTATAGTAAACCAGTTATGGTCATGCAAAAACGATTAACCGTAGTCTAAAAATACTTTAAATTTTTACCAAATGGTAAATATTTATATTGGCATTTTCTATATTCCCCGATAATGTTTGACGCGTGATGTATACCTACGATTGCAGAAATAATTATGTTATAACACTTACAAAATTGTATAGCAGTAATATTCAAATCTTGCGCGCAACTGACGTCATGGCGATCATCGAATGACAACTGACATGTGTTCTCGCTGAAAGGCATTTTCTTATTTCGAAGTACAGCAACAGCCAGTGAAGTGTTGTACATACTACATTGCTACCACGATTTTAGATACACGGAATATTTTAAATCATAACTACTACACTGAACATATAGATAGTATTTTCATGTATATGTATTCGCTTATTATCTAAGACTGTATAACCGTTTGGCTTATCAGTTATTTTATTATTATATGAAAATAAATAACAATATAAATATTAAATTACAATAATTGCTCCGATTTGGAAGACCATTAATAAATTAAAAAGAATTCGAACAAAGATGGTCGATAGAAGTGGCAGTGGCCGTTTACGACTGGTTATATGTGGTGCATGTCAGATGAAACAGTAGTATTATTTAATGTATGGTCGTGCGCCACCGTCATTTGTTCTAAAATCTTGCTCGTAAGTCATATGAAAACCTCGCGTGCTATTGCCATTAACTGGCTAACAAAAATTTGTTATTTACGAGGTTAGTGTTCGTTCAATGTATAGTTTTGTATTCGGTAGTTTGTAATTTTATCTTTTGCATTATTATTCGGACGTAGTGACAGTGATAAGTATTTTAGTAGTGATTGGTACTTCTTAGTAAAGAGGTCAGATTACCTGTCGGTGGATGGATTATTTTGCAGATCCGTTGGCTATGATCTCCGATTCTCCAAAGTCTCGAGACTGGTGGCCAGATCTAGAAGACTTACGACTTTCGAGTACTGCTGTGGTTGTTCTAAATACGAGCATTGAGAATCCACCAAAGCTGGTGCGGCATCTATGGAATAACTGTGAGCATTTTGTCACCACAATCATGTCCAATAATTAACTAAATTTTGTATTCATCTTTATTTCCAGCCTGGCTCCGAGTAACTGTTGATGGCGGCACCAACCAATGGCATAGTTTTGTCAAACAAAATTCATTTGATGACTTAAAATTCCCCGACCTCATAACTGGTGATCTGGATTCGGCCAACCCTGCTGTCGTTGAACAGTTTGTATCTATGGGTTCAAAAATCATTCCCACACCCAGTCAGGATGAGACAGACTTTACCAAAGCACTTAAGGAGGTTAAGAAATATTCATCAAGTAATTATACATATGCTTATGAGGTACTTGAAAAAGTACTCACATAATGATAAAAGTTGATTTTTTTTCTAGAAAATTGTAAATCAATAGATTCTATTATTGTTATGGTAAACATGTGTCATAGGGTCGATCATTTCTTGTCAAATTTAAACACTTTGTACAAGTCTAAGACCCAAGACCTTTATTTCGATGAAGACATATACCTTCTGGGAAGAAATTCATTGACCTGGTTGCTCCAGGCCGGTACACATCGTATTCATGTTCCTCAGGCCCTAAGGTTTCACCCAGAAAACAATTATGTAGGCTTTTTTCCAATGGGTTCAGCATGCAATGAATGTACAACTACAGGACTTAAATGGAATTTAAGTAAGTCTTGTTGTCTTTTTTAGCTACATAATATGCATTATTAAATCATTTCCAGTCTTTATTATTCAAATATTGGTAGGTTTATGTATATTTGATTTATTTTAGAGTAATGATTTGATTTACCACCTATATCAAACAATTTGTTTATATGTATTTTACATTATTTAATAGTTTATTTACTTTTTATTTAGCTATTATCAATTATCCTGTACTTTTTTTTTGAAAATAAAATTAATGGTAGTATAATAATCAATATTATGTAGTAGTGTAGTGGATTACATTTTTATATCTTATAATCTTATTAATTTTGTTTGGTTGGTAACTATTATTCCTTTTTTTATTTCAAATATTTGACTGAATGTACTGTTTAATTAATGCATTCAATTTTTTGAAATTGTATTAAAAATGTATATTTTTTAATTATTTATCTATCATCTGATTATCTATATTATATCGTTAAGACAATTTTACATTCACGGATATTCACTTTTTTATTGATAGTTTAATTTTTTTTGATACCAGTAAAAATATTAATATCTATGGATCTAAAACCATTTGATCACTATTATATAAACATATTCATAAATACAAAAGAAAGTTTTAACTATAAAAATTCTACATTTTGTAAAAAGTCTACGATTTTTGATTATTTTGTAATATATACATAAATAGATATTTTTATGTCTTTTATTCATTTTTTTTTTTCATATAGAATTATCTAGATATTTAACAATTTAATAATATTTAATGGATTTTGATTGAATAATGTTTAAAAAAAATCGAAAAATTTGAATGTTTAATTCTTAATAGGGTTTTAAATTTATGATTAAAACTTTTACTTATTCTATTTGCTCTAATATAAAGTTTTGCTCTATACTTTAAAGTGTTATGTGCAATTTTTAAATGAGGAAAAAGTAAAATAATTAGACTATAACTTTTTTCACACTTTAACAGTTGCTTTTTAAAATAATATTGATTATATACAACTAATACAAAACCAAAACCCTTAAACTTAAGAAAATATTGATTTGAATTTATTAAGTAACCTAAAACATAAAAATTATACTTGTTTTGTGTAGGTATAAATTGAAATAAAAGTTAAAATTCCTTAAATATTAAAATTTATTCTCAATTTGTATAAGTTATGGAATAATAAACAATTTTTGAGTGTAATCACTTAATATAAAATATACTGGAGAAACAAGTTTAGTGACATTATTTATAATAATAAAAAATATTTTTTTCAATTTTATAAGATTTTTTTTATTAATTATTCAATAAAATTTTCAGGAAAAAGGGCGGCTGTCTTCACTATTTTATAAAAGTAATTAGCGCATTAATTGATTTAATAATATTTTGTGAAATAATGTATAATTGTGTAGCCTAACGTATACAAATAAAGTATATTTCAAAATCCAAATTGACTATTTAAAAAATTTAATTTAAACATAGTGACTTAAATTTATAATTTTTATTATTATTCCTTTCACAGGATCAAATCTAATATGATTATATTTTACACTAAAGCTATACTGGTTCAAGAATTTATAATTTCTTAGTAAATCCATTAAACTATATTATTTTATTATTTTATTTTTCTTTTTTTATGATAACTAGGCCCGGATTAAGACTTATGATGCTTGTAGGTTATGAAAATGTTGATGCCTTTATTTTACTACCCTACCTTATACATTTTTCAATCAATATACAAACACCTAATTATTCAACTTAAATAGATAGTTAAATAGTTTTTACTTATTAAACAGATATACATAAAAAGTAATATAATACAAATTAAATTAAATTTTAATGGTTTATTTTGTTTTAAAATTAATAAAATGCATTTAAATTAAACAACAGTACAACAACTTAATGATTTTAAGTTTGGATACAATTCAATTAATCAATACTATAAACTCTTTTACTTAATTAAAAAAAAATAGCATTTAATATTGTATATCAAACAAGATATCGATGCTGTTTCTAAGTTTGTGATCAATCGTGGATCTATAGGTTGTACACAATACATTGTTTTTAATTGAATCCTGATCTGATAATAAACTTTGTATAGCTTTATATATGTATCAAAAAGTTATACAATTATAAGTTGTAATAAATAGTAATTCTAGTTTGATGAAATACGAATAATAATTATTTTTTATGAAGAAGAAAGATGGGTTTTTTTTAATATTTTATGTTGATAGCTTTTTTTTAATGTTTGTCTATTTTAACATTACCGTGAACACAAAAATGAGACCTGTTGGTTATGCATCTAGCTGTAGTTTTTTGATAATGGTTATCAAATCTTACCACACAAAAATATTAATTCTCAATACTTTAAGGAATTAAAATGATTAAGAACGAGACTATTGGTAATGTGTGGTCTAGCTAGTGGCCAGCTTATCAGTGCTTATTGTTTCATGTCCCCGATTACAACATGTAATGGTAGGTAAGCCACAATGTATCCATGTAAAATGTCAATGGTTATAACATTGGATATGAACAATGAGCCGCTGAGGCTAGGTCTTATTTTTTGTGTCAGCGACTATGTAGGTATAATTTATGAAAGTGCTCTGTATTAACAACAATGGTTGCTTTTATTTGGAAATGCTTCAAAGCTCATATGACTTATTTTTAATTGTACTGTCTGTGAATGAACTATGTTTGCTATACAATTTTTTTTTATAAAGATTAAGATTTGCTGTTTATTTTAGATGGAAAACTTATGGAAATGGGAGGACTTACCAGTAGTAGTAATACATTCAATGGAGAACCAATTGTCACAATCACCAACAGTTCTTCATTATTATGGACAATGACTATGGGTTATGAAGAAAGTTTCTAAACCAAGAAGAATATTGTTAGATTGGTATATTTTATTCCAAATTAAAATTCCATCCTTATCGCCTGGCCACTTGTTATTTACTCGCACAAGAATAATTGTTTATTTTATCATCTGCACTGTCTCTATGACTGTAATAAAATTTAGTATATATTTGAACCAATGTGTCTGTGCACTTAAATGTTAATAAAGTAATATTATAAAAGTTTATTATTATGTTTTTAGAATATATTTATTGTTAGTTGGACCCTCGAAGGTTGTTATATTTGAAATAGTTAATTTAATAATGTATTTAATTGTTTTTTCAGTCAAATATATTTATACATACATATATATAATATTGTGATGATGTTTAATTGTTATTGTAAGCATATAATAAGTTGTACGTGTTAAGATAGATAATCAGTCAGTAATTCAACACAATATAATATTAAATTAATTTTTAATTAATCTCAAAAATTGGAAATTAATACTCTAATTTGACCCTATTTCATATGTATGTTTTCATTTAAATGTAGTGTCTTGTGTCACCTTTTAAATTAATACTACAATTATATTCTCATTAAATTTATAATTCAATATTTAAATATTTTAATTAAATCATTTTGCAAATCTATTGTATAAAAATTATTCAAAGAGATATGAAAAGTTAAAAATCACAAATAGTTTCATAAAATAATCACATTGAAGTTATAAAATTCATATACCTAATGTTAAATTGTACTTATTTAATTATATTTTTAAAATCTCATTAGAAATTATATTTTTTTATTGTTGAGGCCATAATGTAATCTAAATTATTGGAATATAGAATTATGTTATTTTTTTATATTTAAAGTACTTTGAGAATAATTTATGTAATTCCAACATGTTTATGAACCTCATGCTACATCAATAAATTATTGTTGTGTCATATGTTTGTAATTTTAATCCTTTAGTATAAAGAAAGCTGAAGTTTTTAGTTCAAACACTAAAAACTGATTTTACTCATGCTATAAAAATATAAATCTATGTTAATATTGTAAAAAAAAAAAAATAAATATTTTATTACTATAATATTGTTCTGTGAATGGAATAATTATGTAACAAGCTCCTTTTGATCAGACATACAGTAATACCCATATTAAATTTAACACTAAGTAATTATTAGATTATAATTGAAAAGTATAAATTTATCTACGAATTTAAACTAGTTTCAATAATATTGTGGCTTTACTTATTTATTTAATGTATCCAATTATAGATCTATAATGGATTTAATATTTTAATCTATTACATGTTACTTTCTTATATATACTACATTTCAGTAGCATTAAAAAGGAAAATTATCCACAAATGTTGTGTAATGTTTGTTATTTTATACAATGATACTTTTTCTTATCAAGTGTCTATAATTAATCAATTTAAAGAATTTAAATAATTACTATACACAATTACTTTTTTAATTATTAATATTAAACAAAAATGTTCATTGTTGGATAGTGATTCGAGTATATATATTTTTTTTAATAAAATACAGTTATGAAAATAATTATTAATGATTCCTATTACAATAATTAATCATTACCTACAATCAATTAAAATGTACAATATTGTTATCTATAATTTAAAATTTAAATAAATATATCTAAAGAAAAGAAAATGAAACTGATAACGGAATTCAAACAAATATACATTAAATTATTTCTGGGAACTGTATAACTTAAGTATTTAATTGTTTTTATTACATACTACTATCAAGATAATTGTTTATGATTATCCTTAAAATTATTTCATAGACTTGTTTTGTTATTTATATCAGTAGATTTCGGTTTTTAAAGTTCTTGATAATATATAAATGATTAAAAAAGCTTAAAAATAATATTGCTGATGGTTTATAATAGACATTATAGTAATTTCAAGTAATTGACAGGTCAAACATTGATTTTTGAAATTTAACTGAACTTTAATATTTTTTAATACAGTCAATCCGATCTGAATTCTTATATTTCTTACAGAACTAAACTTAAGATAATTTTTAGTCAGTAAAATTCAAAAATTAAATTGTTTATGTTTTAATAGTACCTAATCATAACGCTTAAAACTACTTTGTAAATTGTAATAAACAATAGTGAAAAAAGTGATTACTGATTAGTGATTAGTGACCTATCGCCTGTTGGTTTTGATTATGTGATATAATATTTTCAAGTTGGATTGATTAATTCATTAACTACTTTTATTCTTTATACTTTTCAGAAATCATTACAAGATATCAGTATAATTTACAAAAATACAAATACACGATAACGAGCACAACAAAACAGTGATAACAGGTATAACACTGATTGCTGGAAATACATTTTGGTATGTTTTGTATTACCGTCTACAAATAATAATCGGATTAAAATTATTATTTTCACTGAATATTATTCATTATGGATCTACAAGTTAAATTTCATAAAAATACAATTTTTTTAATTAATCGACCAGATTTATTGACCTTAGGAAAATATTCATATTTAATTATCGTATCTACAAAACGAAAAGTAGGTGCACGCATAGCAATGTCCATAAAAGGCAATGTTCACCTGTTGTTTCATTATGTTTGAAACCCACTTTGCGAAAGTGCGTTTTTGTTGAATGTTTAACAGTGGTTTAGTTGTAACCGTCGGTGACAAAAATGGCTATGCTTTCTTTACGTATTCGGTTTGTGGATGATGGGGTGACAAAGACGATACAATTCGATCCGTCTACGCCTGTGTCCGAAGCTTGCTGTCAGATCAGCGGAAAAACTTCATCTGACCATCTGTCGGAATACACATTGTTTCTGGCCGACGAAGATTCCAAAAAAGGCATATACCTTGAACCTGCACGTAATTTTGAGTATTATATACTGCGAAATGGCGATTTACTTGAATATCGTAAGAAAGTGCGTCCACTTAAGGTTAGCACACTTGACGGGACGTTAAAAACTTTGATGATAGACGATACCCAACCCGTTGCCAATCTTATGGCCGTGATTTGTGCTAAACTAGGCATAACTAACCATGATGAGTATAGTTTGGTACGTGAATTTCCCGAAGGCGATGAAAATAATGCGAATGCAGGAAATTCAATTAAACGCGATCATAAGATGGAACATTTGCGCAAAAAATTAAAGACAGATGAAGAAACTAATTGGATTAATCCAGGAGCAAGTTTACGAGAACAGGGCATTGATGAAAAGGAAGGGGTTTTATTAAAACGCAAGTTTTTCTTTTCAGATGGTAACATAGATTTGCATGATCCAATTCAATTAAATTTGTTATATGTTGAAACAAGGGATGCTATTTTAAAAGGTACTCATCCTGTAACTGAAAATCTTGCCATACAGTTAGCTGGTTTACAAACACATATTCAATTTGGTAATCATGATGAAACTAAACATAAACCTCCTTTATTGGACTTAAAAGAATTCCTGCCACAGTCTTATATTAAAAACAAAGGTATTGAAAAGAAAATACTTAATGAACACAAGAAATATACTGATTTACCTGAGCTTAAAGCTAAAGTTTTGTATACAAGAACTGTTCGAGCACTTCCAACATATGGTGTTACATTTTTCTTAGTTAAGGAGGAAATGAAAGGTAAAAATAAACTTGTGCCTAGAATTCTTGGAGTTACTAAAGATTCTGTGTTACGCTTGGATGAACGAAGTAAAGAAATATTACAAAATTGGCCTTTAACTAGTGTTCGACGCTGGGGAGCTTCTCCTCATACATTTACATTAGATTTTGGCGATTATTCTGATCGTTATTATTCTGTCCAAACTACTGAGGCAGAGCAAATACTACAATTAATATCTGGTTATATTGATATTATTTTGAAAAAAAAAGAAGCTAAGGATCATTTTGGAATTGATGCAAATGAACATTCTACAGTGTTGGAAGATACAGTAAGTCCATTAAAAGCAATTGTGATAGAAAGTAATGGTCAAAAGGTTAAAACTGAATCTGTTGCTAAACCTGCTATTCTCAGAGTTCCACAAGAGCCTACATCTTACACAACTGGATATATTTCTGAAGAACAATATACCTCTATTGAAATCACATGCACTGAAGCCATATCAGGTGTTTTAGAAGATCTTGATACCACTATGTCTGAAGGTAATAATTTAGAATTGGAAATTAATGAACAAAAATTTTCTGACTATAGGGAAAATATCTTGAGAACTTCCAAAACATTAGTGGAAAATACCAAATCATTAGTAGCAGGTGTTGGAGTGTCCAAAGAACAATTGGATGATTCTTCTAAAAATGCAGTAACTACAGTATTGAAACTTGTAGAACTTGTGAAGTCTGGTGCAGCTTCATTAGATGACCGTGAAGTTCAAATTAAATTGATTACAGCTGTTAAAGATGTTGCTAGTTCGCTTGGGGAACTGATTAAGGGTTGTTTTGAAACTCCGTCTATGGATGAATTAAAAGATAAAGCAAAAGTGTTGGTAACTAATGTTACTTCTTTATTAAAAACTGTGAAATCTGTAGATGATGAACGCACAAAATATACTAATGTTATGGAATCAACAGTTGAATTGATTGAAAAAGATATGCAAAGAAATCATAACATATCAAATTATGAGACAACGACAGAATCACTTATTCAGTCTGCAAAGTGTATTGATGAAACTACTAAAAATATGTTGGATATTGTCTATAAAGGAAAACCAAATGATGTCAGAAATGCAGTACAAGAAAGTCATAAATCAGTTAACGAGTTGTTAACTGCTTGTCAAGGGAAAAATTTAAACGAAAAAGTGTTGGATGCTGGACGTCAAGTCGCTGAAGAATTTAAAACTTTTTTGTCTACAATTTTAGAAAATTCTAAAAGGCCTAGTACTACTACAAAACGGGTTTTAGAAGAGGTATCGCAACGCCTGTCATCAAAGGTACACTATTTAATTACAATTGTGGAACACATTGAAACAATAGAATATCATTTAATGGATTCAGCAACTTCAATTGATACAGCAGTGAAAAAACTTGATACAATTCAACCCAGACCTTACGAATTCAAAGTTGACGAAACTTGCTGGAAATCTGATGAAGTTATTTTAGAAGCAGTAAAATCAATTGCGGCTGCTACCTGTGCATTAGTCAAAACAGCTTCACTTGCACAACATGAAATTGGAGTTGATGAAGGAGTAGATGGATTAGTGTATGCAGCTAGAATGGTTGCCACAGCAACTCATACCTTAGTAGAATGTGCTCGTGAAATAATTGAAGGTTTATCAAGCGAAGACAAACTTATATCTGCTGCTAATCAAGTGGCTTCTTGCACAACACAACTTTTGGTTGCATGCAAAGTCAAAGCAGATCCAAATAGTGATGCTACAAAGCGCCTTTTAGCTTCAGGTAATAATTTTAAATTAATTATTTTTAATGTATATTTATATAATTATATTAATTTTTTTATTTCAGGTAATGTAGTGAAACGTGCAACTGAAAATGTAGTTCGTGCAGCTCGCCAAGCCATGAAAACAGATGAAATCAAAAATCTTATATTAAATGAAAAAATGGTTGGTGGTATGGCTCAAGAAATAGATGCTAGATCTGATGTGTTAAGAATTGAAAGGGAGTTAGAAGAAGCGAGAAAAAGATTAGTGGTTATCAGACAAGCAAAAAATAAAAGTGTTAATAGTTATTAGTATAATATCACAATTTGTTCAAAATTACCTTAAAAATTATTAATTTATTTACTTGTAACATTATGTAATTACTAAAATTAATACATTCCTTGTGTTAAATGTTAAAACACCTATTAATAGATACAATATTATTTTGATCATATAAATTTGTTTAAAATTATAAAATTTTGTCTACCTGAGGTTATAAAAAGACATTTTATGTAATTGATTATGTTTAATTTTAACATCAGTTCTCTCATTAAGTTAGTATCTAAAAAATAACTTATACAATTAATAAACTTTAATCTGTCCTCTAAATTAATTAATATTAACAAAAGTAAAAATAACATTAAAATAAGTATCTTTTAGAATTACTTTTTTATTTTACAAAGTAAATATAAAGTTCTAAGAAATTAAAAAAATTTGATTTATATTGTTTTTATTATCTATGTTTAATTTTTATTTATTTTATATTAACCATGTAAAATAATAAAATATTTTTAAATTTTTTAAATTTTATTTGTATGATATAATATAATTATACTTAATAATGTAATATTATTGTGATTTATGTGATTATGTATTAATTTCAAAAGATAACTGCATAGTTGATAATTATTAAATTTTAATCTAGCTTCTATGTGCCAAGTATAAACACCAATAATTGGTATATACTTGAATTATTCAAGAGGCAGATTATTTAGCAATTAAGTCTTTTAGCATAAAACTGTATTAAATACATTATATTTTTCTTGTCTACAGAAATCACCTTAGAAAAAATTTCAGGCTAAAAACTATTATTTGTCCAAGTTATATTTTTCATAAATATCCTCAAGTTAACGTATTTAAATGGAATTTGAAGGAGGGAGAAAAGTGACTTAAGAAGCTAAGCTTTTCAAATGTTTATAATAGTGAGTATCAATATTACAGATAAATCTCAGAATGTAATAAATCTAATAGACATCTAGCTGTTAAGATGGTAAAAGGTAAATAGTTTATTAGGTAAGAGTGTTGAGGTCTTGAGAATCACCTCTTGTGCCACACCTCAGATAATTTATATCAAATTATTGTATAATTAGTCATCAGGTGTAAAAATAGTTTAAAGATTCCAGCACTTGGTGAAAATATTATAATATCAGAAGTATTTATCTAAAAATATAAGTATTATTATAATATTTCTATAAGTTATAACAATTTTGGTAAAATTTATAATGTATTATGTATGTAAAAATAATGTGATTTCAGTTAAATAACTAGTGTACTTTTACAATAAATGCAAAGCTATGTTTGTACATTTGTACCATCTAACTGTTTGAAGATAATTAAAATTCAATAAATTAAAAGTGCTTCTAAAAATCTGTATTACACACAAAAAAAGAAAAATCAAACCTCGTTGGAATATTAAAATTTTTTCTTTTTATTGTATATTATTAATGATCAGTTATTTTTATGTATTTGATATTTTTGTAATCTGTATTTGGTTTTTATGAATTTCGACATTTATTTCTGAGCAAATTTATATTTTTGTATATTTTGTGAATACTTCGACAGGACGACTAACGGCACGTCAACCGTGGCAAAAAGCCAAAAAATGAAATGAAATCTGATATTATAATGGATGAAATGGATTTAAATAGATTTCACGAATTCGGCGTTCCTATAATACGGATTTGCGGTGAACACCGCCAACTGAGTAACGACACCGAACCGCTGACTTTTTTAGTCTTTTACTGAATGTAGTAGTATAGATTTTATTCGCTTGGAGCTCTAGTAAACAGATATTCGATTTGAGGTTCCTTATCATAGGTCATATTCATAGATAATGTATTATCTATGCTCATATCTCGTCTATACGATGATAAGGCTCATAATATCACAGATATATATTATTTTTATATAATCTGTGATAATATGATTTAAGTAGATACTCAATATTAAGTATCGTAAAGAGGCATTTTACTCATTACGATGTTAAGGAGTTTACTAGTATAATATTACGCTTAAATTATAGTTTGTAGTTGTATTATAGAACGCCAAGTCATTATTTTATTTACTATTATTTATTGCTTACCTTCATTCTATCGTTCTATTTATTTCGTAGTATTAATTTTTTATTTTTATATACTACATCTTGTTGAATACTATCAACTTAGAATTGTATTGTAAATCTTAAAATTGTATTCTGTATATTAATTATTGACGTTAAATAGTCGCGAATATAGATATGGAAAAGAAAGGCAAGAATACTAGTCAAAAGAAGAATCTTGCCAAAATGCAAACCATGAAATTAAATGATTGCAAAGTAGTGATATTAAAGCTAGTGGATGAATTACTCGATGGTTAAAAAAATTTATTTATTAATTAGGCATATTTCAATAATTGACGTGATGTTAAATTTATATTTTGTTCGTTAGCAACGAGTATGATGTCCAATTCCCCATCAATCAAAGAACAGTGGTCCATACATTTGGTGATTGTCAACTTATTATCCAAGATTAATCAGTTTGAAGCAGAGTTTGATTTGAAACCCTTGTCTCAGAGAAATGATCAATCCATTGAGAAGTTGACTAAATGGGCCACAAAAAACGGTGCTATTCTTAATGGAGTAGAAATTCATAAATTCGAAAATTATGCTTATGGTATGAAAGCTACTAAAAATATTGCTGTTGGTGATAAACTTGTGACCGTACCAAGAGCTTTGATGATGACTGAAGAAAATATACCATCATCTCCACTTTGTAAGTGTGGTGAATTTTATAATGATTGTATTTAATCACACAACTTTTTATATTTATAAATTTAGGGAAATTACACTCACAAGACATGATGCTGCGTAATATGCCTAATGTGGCTCTGGCAATATTCATTTTGGTTGAATCTTTGCGAAAAGATAAGAAAAGTTTTTGGCATTCATATTTAACTACATTGCCAGTAACATATTCAACGCCAGTATATTTTGATGTAGCTGATCTAGAAGCTTTGAAAGGATCGCCTGCATTTGGTATTATATATAGTTTTAATAAATTTTGGATTGCTTAAATACATATAATACATAATCTATAGTATATTATGATTTCTGCTTTAAACATATGAGTATAAATAACTAAAATTTATTTGAGAATTTCCATTTATCTCAGTCAATTTCATATTTATTTTTATCATTATAGTTTCAGTCATTTATCATATTGCTCCAGATCTGTATATTTGTATATTGGTAGATTAAGTTTTACATAATATGTTTTTTGATTAGCATTTAGTTATTAACATATTTTTATGAATGTAGAAGCAGCATTGAAACTTAATAGAAATATAGCTCGACAATATGCATACTTCAAAAAATTGTTTCAGGTAATTATGGTTTATTATTATTATTATTATTATTATTAACTTAAATCGTGTATGATTTATTGATTTTTTTTATTCAATATGTAGATAAATACATATGTTTTAGGATGTTCAAAGATGTTTTTAAAAATTGAAAAAATTAACTTTACTTTCTTTTCAATAGAGACACAAATTCAAATCCTATTACTTTACACCTACAATTTTATTTTCCATTGCATAAAATTATTATTTTGATATAAATTTTTATAACAATATAAAATAAAATAAAATTTTAAGGGACTGCAAAGTGCAAGTACAGTGTATCTCCTAATAATATTATGTTTAATAATATAGAATAATAATTTTAAAGTTTAATTTATTTAAAGCTTATGAATGGTTTCAATAGTTAACTTGATTGTCATACAAAAAATAAATAGTTATAACTTCATGTTTATTAGTTTGAAGTTAATATCAAAAGAAAATAGTCATTTCTCTGTCTTATGAAAATTATATTATTGAAAATCAGTCTTAAGAACATAGAAAATTGAAAAATTATGATTTATCTGATATTAATTGAACCAACTAAAAGTACTGCAAGTTGAGTTATCAGTTAATGACAAAGTCATGCCCTGTAAAAAATATTAATTTTACTTAATAAGTTATGTTTCATTTTTTGGTGAATATAGTCATAATTAAATTAATCCAAGAAAATATTTTTATTTAATTGTATATTATTAAGAAAATTAAAATTTCAAACTTTGTTAAAAATCCACAAAAAAAAAAAAAAAAAAAAATAAGAATAAATAATTAAACTTTAAATTTTTGTTTGGCTCCTGAAAAGTTTTAAAAATTAAGTTGTCTGACTTTCTTTGTAATGCTAACTGTAGTTTGTTTGATAAGTTGGGGGATGTAAACATAAATGTACTATTTTGAATTAATTATAATTTTATATTTATATTTTCAGCTGTCCAGTGATCCAGCTAGTGTAATATTAAAAGATACGTTTACTTATGAGTATTATAGGTAAGTTGAATGTATTTTGAGTTTTAATTTATTTGTGAGTGTTTCTAAAATCTAAAAATGAAGTAAAAGTATAATCGCTTACAACTTTGAACAAAAATCACTGTTTCTGAGTTTTTAGATTTTCATTATTTTATGTTAATCCTTTTATTTCTATTAAATTGTATTGTTAGAAAATCTCAAAGTTTAATAATATTCGTTATAAATATATTTTTTGACACATTATGTTTAGTGTAAATTTAATTTTAAAAATCTAACAAGAGAAATATTATGAATACTCTTATTAATATAATTTGGTTGAAATACTTTTTATATTAATATTTGAACTTATTGTCTTATAAATATTGAAGAATACAATTCTCCTCAGTTAGACTGTTATGTGATTTATTGAACATTGGACTCTAATCTATCTATTTTTGTGTTTTTTTGAAAGTATTTTTCTATGCAATCTAAAGAATTTTTACAGTTCTTTTGATATTCGTAGATACTATTTATCACTATCATTATTATGGGGATTTTTTTTCTATGTTTACAAATTACCTGAGTACTAGTTGCTAATATCTTACATTAAAAATTATTGCTTTATGTTAATGGTAATAAATAACAATAAATGTAGAATTAAGTAGTAATACAGTGGGACTTTAGTAGTACATTAATTTGATAGAGTTGTTATACTACTTAATAATTTATTCTGTGATATAAAACTCTTTTTATAATTTCATTATTTTTAATCCATAAATATATTAAATATTATCTAAAAGCTTGAATCAAAATTTAAGATCTCTATATTTAATAAGTTGTCAATTTTATAGTAAAACTTTTATTCATGTGTTGTAATATATAATTTTTGTTCCATACATATATAATTTTAGTATGTTTACTTAATGTACCATGTATTATTAGCGTTACTTATTCAGTACTTGTATGGGTAACGATAATATGTTTAGTTTCAGTTTACAATACATAGATTAAAATGGTACACAAACCAATTATTTTATCTTATAATAAATAATAAGATTATTTTTATCGATTAAAAACGAAATAATGTATTATTTATTTTAAATTTCACATGTGTTTCAAAAGTATAAATTTAACAATAAAAAAAATAATTTAAATTTTGTCCAAGATACAAATATTGAACAACTGTTACACTGATCAGTCATATCGGAATGTTTTCCTCAGTGTTCTCCATAAGTAATATTGACGATTAGCTGTTGTGTGAGCATCGATACGTCCTCCATATCCATCATAGTATTGATCGTGGCAATGTTTATCCATGACAGGACTTGTACTACGAGCGCTAGACCTAAGATCTGGGTCATGGTGTAGATTATGTTGACAAAACACAGATTTTTTTCGGATAATTCGTTTTTTCTGCCTTATTCTACATGATATAAGCAACACAAAAAAGCCTAGGATTGCTACTGCCAATATTGCAGCACTAGCTATGATAGCTGATTTAACAGCTACTGGCAATTTTCTCATTTCAAAACGACGGTAAACCAAATTATTTTCCTCATCTATATCTTTATTTTTTTCTGAATAACTCTGATATTTGTCTAAATGATTTGTGTCTTGAATAAATAATACCTGTGAAGGAATAGTGGGTGTTATAAGTGGTCGTTGGGTAGTTTTTATAGAAAAATCTGGTAAGCTATCAAAAAGACGTGGTTCTCTTTCAGATGTTTCTAAAACGATTCGAGTTTTTGGAGTTTTTGAAGCAAACGAAGTTGCTTCATTATCTTGGTATTTAACATCTGTTGTTGTATATGTAGTCGTTGTTGGAAAACTAAATACTTTTTTTTCATCGAAAATCGTATTCAATTGAATTTTACCAGTTTCGGCTTCTTGTTCCATTTTTAAATTATTTAAATGCTCAATGTTTATCGGTGGTTTAGAAAAGTTGTTGACTTCATGATCAAGCGTTTTTTCGCCAATTTGAATTGGTGATTTAATATCATCAGTTTGTTTCTCTAATGCAAACTTTGTTGTTGGTTCTTTAGTTGTATACTTGTATTGATTGTCATTTTTTTCATCTAAATTTGTAGATATTGTCGATATTTGGGTTGTTAACTCTTTGTTTTTATCTTTAGTTTGTTTCAAGTCATTTAATTCTCCCGTTTGTAATGTAACTTTGTTTTTTTGTGCTAAAAGTTTTGTTTCTATTAAATAGTTAGTGAAATTTTTAGCATTTTCTGTTACTATTGGTTCATCGGCACTTATGTCTATCGATTCTTCTTTTGCGTCTATAAATTCTTGATGCCGTTGACTTGATCCTCGTTCTCTGTGTTGTAAAAGTTCTTCTAAAGACATGTTTCTAAGATTCAGTATATTTGATAATAACGATGATCCAGTTTTAGTTTTTAATAAACTTAAAATTTCGTCTTTGACTTTAGGTATGCTGTCAGATTTGAATTTGAATTCGTCGTTGTTATTATTCGGCTGTTCTTTCATCATTTTTGTTAATGCTTCGTCGTTGAATTGATAATCATCCGTGTTATTTTTAGATTCGTTAGGTGGTGCGTTTTCTGTCATTTTGAAGTCTGGGGGAAGTAATGATAAAGGTAAATCTTCTTTTACAACTGTAATTTTTGGTTTAATTACTGTTACTTCTTCCATAGTCGTATTTTGTGGTTTCAAACGACGTCTTATTACTGCAGACGTTGGCGGCAAGTTACTATTTATTGGCCTTTTATGCAATACTATTATGTCGGCACGTGATGAATTTGATTTTTTTAATATTCCTACATCTCTATGGTTAATGTTGCTGTTATCGTCAGTTAATTTGTATGTTGATAACGTTGGTGAAATTGTAGATGTTTTCGGAGTATTAGTCGTTGTGGTTGTAATAGTAGTAGATTTAGGCGTTACTGTTGAAATAGTATTTGTGGTTTCTGATGTCGTTATTTTCCATTTTACTTCTTCGGTTGAGGTTGTTGGTTCCCATCGTTTTACATCTTCACTGGTCATTTTATTACCAGAATCAGCTGGCCTGCGGATAAGTTTTCTTCGTGGTAAAATATTTTCTTCTTCTGCGATGCCACCCCCTTCAATTAATGGCCTTCTCTGTAAAGGTCGTCTTCGTCTTTTCATTGGTCGTCGACGAATATATCCGTCTGCATAATCTAGTTCTGGTGGTTCCTGATTCCACCCTATAGGATGATTTATGTTTTCCTCATAATTGTGCGTCGATGTCCTTGGACGTTTGCGCCGACGACGTCTTTTACGCCTAGGCTTTCTTACTAAGACTTCAGATTCAATTTCAGAAGGTTTATTTGTCGGAAATGGCACTTGACTTTCAACAATTTCCGATGGAGCTTCATCAATATTGTCTTCAAGTTCGAAATCATCGTTATCGTTATTTATCTGTTCGGCATCAAGTTCATGGTTCTAAAATAAAGTATAATACATCTCTAAAATCACGTTTCGTATTTTAATTTATAATGGGAAGGATACTTACATCAGATGTTCCGTGAGTAGAAGAGTTGGACAACTTCAGGTTAACATTTAATTCTCCTTTATTTTTAATACAATAAGTAATCGTGAATAGATTGAATACTAAAGTGTATATTAAAAAAATCCAAACAACATTCTTCATTTTTCTGAAAAAAAAAAAATGTATATATTAGATGTATTGCGATAATATAAGTATTTAGTATTCCCATAATTTTAATTAATTTAACATGATCCGTTTGACGTATATGTATATTGTATTCGCTATAAATTATTTAGGTGTACCTAAACTATTTGTAATGGGTGATTTTTTTTAAATATTAGTTTTTAGTAAAATCGAAATAATTTTAATTGATGATCAATAATAAATAATATTTTATTGTCATTCAATCTACAGGTATTTTATGTGTATGAATATGTAGTATATACTATCAATTCATCAACAACTACTATAGTATGGTTTCAATTATTTAATGATTTTTAAATTAAAATTTCAGTATGCTCTAGTAACTATACGTCAAATAACTTACAAAAATGATTGATGGTCAGTTGAATAATAATTGCGAACTTGAAAAAATACTTTCTCTGTCTAAATCGTGTGCATTCGAAAATCAAATAAAATGAAACTCATCTAGCTACTCAATGTTAGTTCATTGTCATCGTGTGTTTACCACGCGAGACATGTTTAAGGTTCACGGTACACTGAATTTTATCGAATCGAAATAATATTATAAAAAAATGAATTGTTAAAAATGAAGAAGTTTTTGCGGTTTTTCTGTAATCATTAGGCGTTGGGTATTTATGTCAATTTCGCAAAAATCATACACTACTAATTTTGTAAAATTAACTTCTAGTTCTCCGCAATTAGTCTTCAAGAATATGATATGAAGAAGTGAAACTAATCTCTGTATGATCATCTTTATAGCATCTATTAAAGTAGTTGTAGAGTATTTACGATTGTGTGTATATAGTATATTATTGTTATGATTATAGTTTTCACGGTGGATTAGAATCGGATTGAAAACTGAAAAATGTCTATTATCCTTAAAAACTATAATGTTATCTCAATCATTGTGTGTTTTTCTTATTTTCATTTGTCAGTAGAAAATTTTAACGATTAATAATTTCACTCGACATTCTAAACAATAATAGTTATAATTCCTTTTTGAACTTTTGTCTTTTTTTTTTATTGAGAGCGTTAAAAAAATATCGATGCACTGTTATTATGATGCCACATACATATACTTATATTGATATATATATATTATTTATAATTTTTATTTATGAACTTAAATTAAAATTATGGACAATTATGTAATAATTTTTCTAAATTATTTGTAGTGTATTTATATTTAAGTCATCGTTAGGTAGTATTTTTGGATTTATAATCTATTATCAACTATGTATCGCATTCAATAAAAATACTTATAAGTTATACGCATATAAATTATATATATATATAATATATTTATTATTTATATATGGATCACATAATTAGTACTTGATAACGAGTGAATTACAGATTACAATAATATTACATATCAACATAC